AAAATATGAAGAACAGGGTAACTTTGCTATTCCATCTCTAAAATCTCTGTATGATGTGCTGTGCTGTAAATTTATTTAAACTCTGCTTGCTGTGACTCACACAACCTGCATAAAAAATGGTTTAATTATCAATGAGATGTTAACTTGCTTTAGAGGTTTTTTAAATCCTGCTCTGTAAGTTGAACTTTAATCACACACAGGAGGCTAGAAGGATAAAAACAGAGCAGGAGATAAGAAATTGTAAATTAAACAGACTGTGTAAATGAAGTTTAAACATTAGAGCTCTCTTTTCTGACAGTGTTTAGGAAAATTGTTTTAGTCAGCTTCAGGGAGATGTGCCTAGGGCTGCATAAACATAATGGTTTTACTCCTAAATTACAGAGAATTGAGCAATGAGACTGCAGGGGCATGATCTATACACCACAACTGCTTCATTAAGCTAAAGTTGTTCTGGTTCTTATAGTGTTCCTTCAAACACTAGAAGCCCCAAAGGGGTAAATTGCCAAGCAGGGCAAAGCCAGTGAATAGGTGTTTTTACTAACAATATTTTTCATATACAGGGAGCACCAAGGGATTGTCTAAAAATGAATCAAAGGAAAATCTGTACATAACACTTGCTTAGTAGACTTATCTAAAATCACTGAAACAGAGTGAAAAAACTCAATAAAGAAGTGTTCCAGCTAGGTGAATTGAAGAGACAGTGGTGTATTATATCAGCAATATTTATGGCAAAAGCTACTAAGTAGCCTGGCAGAAAGAGAAATAGTTGCTAATAATAACAGACTCAATTAAACAGCTCTTAGGGAAACTCAATCCATAGGCCCTCACTCTCTAAAGCGTAATAATAAATCAAAGGGCCATTATGGAGAATGAAGTTAAGACTTCTATGTTCTGTTCACATGTTTCCCACTCAGTAATAGACCCTATTTGATGCACTTCCAAAGGCGCCAGCCTGCAGTTCATAAACAAAGTCTAGTGCTAAATGGCCAGACTTAGGCAATCCTATCCACTAGGTAGAGCTTATGCAATCATATCACACTAAGTAGAGCTTAACCCCAAAACTAGGAACATATTTTACGTAAACCTTTGCGAGCAGACTCTGCAGTGGCTACTACGAGTAGTTAGAGCATGCTTCACCCAAGTACTCAAGACTACCATAGCCTCGGTATTATCTCGGCAAATGAGAGTGAACTCTTCAATGGTTTTCATTACCAGTGGTAACACATCCACCTAAGCTAATCACCCCCTACACCTATACAACCAAGATTAATATAAAAAAGTCAGACTCGCATTACAGTGTTCCTAGCCTGGTACTTGTTTTTATTTTATATTTCTTTGTTTTTATTGTGCAAGCGATTACAAAGAGGCTTACATTGCCACAACAGCATAAGTAAGCAAAAGAACAATCAAGATGTGAGACAAACATGACATTCGCTAGATCTGCACATATTAGAATATGAATAAGCACATAATAATTAGGGTAGTTAGGCATTAGTGATGTCCTGAACGGTTCGCCAAACGGTTCGCCACGAACGGTTCGCCGTGGACTCCAGTCAGCAGACACATTCCAGCCAATCAGCAGCAGACCCTTCCTCCCAGACCCTCCTACCTCCTGGACAGCTCACTAAGAATGCAGCTTCAAAATGGATGCTGTCCAGGAGGTGGGAGGGTCTGGGAGGGAGGGTCTGCTGCTGATTGGCTGGAATGTGTCTGCTGACTGGAGTCCGTGGCGAACCGTTTATGGCGAACCCTGGCGAACCGTTCGCGACCCGTTCGGGACATCACTATTAGGCATGTCTAAATAGAGAAGACATGACTGACTATCCTGACTATTAGATATTTATTCTTATTCTGGTACTTGTTTATAAAGCACCCACACCCTCTCAGATAAACTAGGCCAATCAGTGAAACTCTAACAACCGATCGGGGCAGGGTTAGTTGTTTTAATGCTAAACCAGATACTCCTCCTACCTTTGGCCCAGAGAGGAGCTCCTCCCTGATATGATTGTGCTATGGGCTATACTTACTAGTAAATATCATCTGCAGACCATGTTATCCCATAAACCACATTTCTAATGGATATATATTTGCCTGGGTCATTGATTCTAATGTGAGACTAGGTTTAGCTTGCTGTTGAATCTAGCCAGATAGCTACACCCAGGGTCCTTGAAATAACTTTGAGTGGGAGATAGGATTGCCATTTTGTCGTTGACCCTTGTGTGTCACTAGGTTTATATACAATTATTTTTGTTTTCTGTTTTGTTAACTGTTTGCAGAAATAAAATGGATAACAACCATGGCAATAGGAAACATCAGCCCAAAACTGGGTGGCAGAAATGACTATAGTATTCATCAGCTCAAACACTACTACCAGGAATAGTGAAAGTTTCAGTGATTGGCTTAATTGTGTTTTTTTATTTTTAATATTTGCTTCTGTATTCCACAGCCATGATACAGTGCTGCCGCATGTGTATATTAGTAAGGGTTTACAAGTATTTAGGGGGTCATAAGAATCTCCCTTTCTGTCTCATTAGTGAGTTTACCTGAAAGCAAAAATGTGAATTGTTAGTGTTAGTGTAGCACTCGCCTAATAGGTTTGCCTTGATTGGGCAGGTGAGCTTACACTTCAGTGGACATTGGAGTAGTACTTAAAAACCTCTTATTTCAATGTGCATAGAGATTTGAGAAAGTACGCAGCTAACCTTTTTTTTGCTTTTGTTCTATTTTCATTTACAGTAGGTGAATACAAATACAAAAACCATAACTCCTGGGCAGCAGCAACGACCACACTACACATCAGCCCCAATACATACAGTAAAAATCAAAGAAAAAGTTACCTGTATATTTAAACAAATGGAGGTAATTTAGTTACGCCAATGGCCATTGGAGGGAATGCCCGCCTGCCAACGTCAAGGCAGACCCCCTTAAGGTCTTTGGTATTTACAGTATGTGCCTTTATTTTAATATTTTAAACAAAAAACTTTGGTTTTGACTTCATATTAACAAAGACTTATCTATTCTGCTCATCTATCGAACATATCCTACTTTATTCTTGATTTTGTTTCCTTCTCTGGTCTGGATAGCAGTATGTCTATTCCCCATTTGAACTCTTCCAGTGCATTAGTTCCTAGTCCCTTTGTAGATACATTTTTCATGAATCTACAACTTTTTTCTATGATAGATTACTTGAGGTTACCTCTAGGTCCTCCACAAATAAATCAGTTCACACAATAAAAAAATGACTTACCGGTAGAGTTAATGATTTTATAGACAGAGGGCTTAATATTGGATCACTGGCCGTCTCTTTGTACTTTATATAATAATATTTTATGACTCCATTAGGATTCATGGGTGGCATCCAATTGATAAACACAGAGTATGCACTTGTAACTTGCGCAGTGGGCGGTTCCAGGTCCTGAGGTTCAGATTCAAGTGTGTAAATCATGGACCAGGAACTTTTTACAGAACCTTTGCTGTTTTGTGCTGTGATGCAATATTCATATTGTGTGTATGGGAGCAAATCATTGGATGAGCTCATGTATACGAGAGGTCCTTCGGTCCAAATGAAAATGGGAAGAATTTCATGTTGGCCAACACAACGTCTGCAAATTAATTAGAACATTATAGTTAGAATTTTGATTATTTTGTTTCTTTACACATTTCTTGTTTCCCTTAGCATTTTTGTAATTTTCCACAAATTTTATTTTTTTTAACTATTAAATGCATTCTTAGAGATCCCAATAAGAATTTTAAAGCTGAAAATCTCAACTGCAGAATTACCATCATGGGTAGCTAAAGGGATCCAGACAACAGGGGACCTATTTAAAAAAAGATGAGCTAATGGATTTTTCAATATTATTAGTAGAGTTGAGCGGACACCTGGATGTTCTGGTCTGGTGGGTTCAGCCGAACTTTGAAAAAAAAGTCGGGGTTCGGGCTCGAACTTGACCCCAAACTTGACCATGAATCCAAACCCCATTGAAGTCAATGGGGACCCGAACTTTTGGCCACAAAAATGCCTCTAAAAAACTCCTGGAAAGAGCTGCAAAAGCAAGTAAAATGGGGATAAGAGTAGTACAAGTGCCAATACAAATGTGGATAGGGAAATCACTTAAAATTACATAAAATACCTAAAAATTAAAAATACAGCTGAGCCATAAAATAGCACTAGATGGAATCTTTGATTTTAGCTTTGGAAGAACATAAATCAAAATCTAAAGCATGGCTATCAGGAGGATCAACATAATTATCCATTTGAGAGATGGTTGGAGTTCAGGGTATTCTATTTCATTGTTCAAACTGAGCTCAACTCCTGATGCATGGAGAAAAGGCCTTCACAAGCCTCTGCTATTGTGCACATAGTTTATACTAAGTGACCCATAGGTTGAGGAGGCGGTGACCGTGGCCGTGTAGGTGGAAGCGGCGATGGAAGAGGAGGGGGTAGCCAACACTGTTTTTTATTGTTTTTTTGGTTGTTTTTTTAATTGGGGTAGCCCCCAAAATATTGGGACATATAAAAAAAAGAAACATTTGCGGCCTGCGGTGCATTTCTTGCAGTTCTGATGCATGGAGAAAGGCTCAACTCCTGATGCACGGAGAAAAGGCCTTTACAAGCCTCTGCTAATGTGTACCTAGTTTATACTATGTGACCCATAGGTTGAGGAGGCGGTGACCGTGGCGGTGGAGGAGGAAGATGAGGTGGAGGAGGGATGAGGTAGCCAACACTGTTTATGTTTTTTAATTTTTTTATTGTGGTAGCCCACAAAATATTGGGACATACAAAAAAAAGAAACATTTGCGGCCTGCAGTGCATTTCTTGCAGTCCTGATGCATGGAGAAATGCTCAACTCCTGATGCATGGAGAAAAGGCCTTCACAAGCCTCTGCTAATGTGTATCTAGTTTATGTTAAGTGACCCATAGGTTGAGGAGGTGGTGAGCGTGGCGGTGAAGGAGGATGAGGTAGCCAACACTGTTTTTTATATATATATATATAATTTAATTGGGGTAGCCCCCAAAATATTGGGACATTTAAAAAAAGACAACACACACACAGAGTAGCTGTTGACATTATAGTTGCACAGGCACTTTGTTGACTCTAGAGAACTTTGAGCCAATCACACATCCCTGTGGCGTCGACTTTGCATGCGGATGTCATCCATATCAACTTTCGATGCCAGTTTCTGCGTCTACAATGGTGACCACGGGTAATGGGGTATCAGGGTTCCATTCCGTACAGAGACCCTGAGAAACGGCTACCACATGCAAGGAAGGCAGCAGGCGCGCAAATGACCCACTCCCGACGTGGGAAGGTAGTGACGACAAATAACAATACAGGACTCTTTAGAGGCCCTGTTATTGTAATGAGTCCACTTGAAATCCTTTAACTCTGATCATTTGGAGGGAAGTCTGGTGCAGAGCCACTGACCTGTGCGTGCTGCAGCTGAAACTCCACTATCACCTGCTGCTCGCACAGACTCATGAGGCGGTGAGCGGGAAGGCAGAAGTTAAGCTCCAGCACAGACAGGCGAGCAGAAGCAGGGTGACAACACCAAAAGCGCGCACAGCCGCTACAGTGAATGTCACATGCTGTTCCAAGTTGCGGATCAGTCTGGTGATGACCTCATCATCCTCCACATCATCTTCCACCGACACCTTAACCCCGCCCTCTTTGCCGGTATGCCCACTGCAGACAGCCACAGCAGTTGGCACCTGTGTTTTTCCAGCATGTAAAGTCTGCAAAGGACATATGGAAATTGTTTTAGAATTGTATCCAGGCAACAGTTTTCTCTATAAACTGACTTCTCAGTTTTACTTTTGAGGGTATTGCCCCAGAATTACAATATTGTTGAAGTACCTCTTAGCTATTGATCACTAGTTTAAATATAGCAGTTTGTTATCTGGTAGTTTCTAGTGTAGAAAATATCAATCTGTTTTCTATCACTTAGATCTGTGTAACAAGTGTTGAAGGTGTGAAACAATATTACAAGTGACCGATGTAGTAAATTCGAATCAAAGTCCATTTGCATAAAAAATTCTCGCCCATCTTCTGTGGGTTATTGCATTTTTAAGATGTAGACTTATTGTATCACACTAGCCATGCACAGGTAGATTGTCTGGCACGTTGTTTTGGTGTTTGGTTTTTAACTTTGTAGTTGTGTCTTTACAGGTCCTGTTCACTATGTGTAGTGTGTAGTCATGAATGTAACCAGTAAAACTTTGTTGTTTCCAACCACTGGTTGGCCCATACATATTTTAAAAACTTGTTTAATTTTGTTGTAGCATGACTTGTAGATATGAAGAGCAGGCCCCAAAACTTTACAGTCCGGGTTCACTCAACTCTAATTAGTAGTAATTACTAGAGTTGAGCGAACCCAGGCTGTAAAGTTCGGGTTCGTAGCACTGTGTAGCACTGTGTCAAAGTAAAACTGAAGTCCCTTAGGGTGCCGCTGTATTATTTTTTTAAGTAACATTCATGTATGTTAAAGGAATTTGGTTTTTGTTAGTTATGGATTCGTGGATTCTTTGTGAGTTTTGGATGTGTGTATGTGTGTGTCTGGGCTAACTGCTGTGATATATATGTGTGTGCCCTGTTTGTGGTATATATGTGTGTGTCTGTATGCGGTATTGTGTGTGCATATGTTGACTGTTTGTGATATTTGTGTTTGCATATGTATATGTGGGCTGCCTGATGTGTGAAGTATATGTGTGTGCTGTTTTGCAGTATGTATGTCTGTGGGCTGTCTGCAGTTTTGTGTGTGTGTGTGTGTGTGTGCTGCATGTGATTGTAATATTTGTGTGTAATGGGAACTTTATGTGGTATTGCACGTGTACGTGGGCTGTTTGTGGTACTGTGTGTATGTGGATTGTCATAACGTATATTTATGGACTGTCTGGACTGGTTTGTATGTGTGCTGTATGTGATATTAAGTGTGTGCATATGGGTTGCGTGTAATATTTGTGGTGAAGGCTGTCTGTGGTATTGTGTATGTGAACTGCCTGTTGTGTTATGTATGTGCGTGGGTGCTCTGCTTAATGTGCAATGCACTACTAAATATTTATCTGAGCCAATCTAAATATTTAATCTAAAAACTATTGTATATGCAATCATATGCAACTGGCAAGACACAATTTTAGCAACACTGAAAAATATGTTATTTTTTTCCATAGGAAAACCTGATTTGTAGGATGACATTAAACATCAGTTCTTCTCTTACGAGCTCAGGTGATGAGATAAAACTATGCTATTTATACAAAGCGAAAGTTCACTTATTTTCAAACTTTGTTCAGGCAGATGGAGAAATTGAACAAAATGGTATTTTAGGGTAATAAATCTTTAATTTTTCTTCCACTATGATTATTATATGACATTAAAGATATTGTTTAATGATGTTGCTTCCGTTCAGCGCACTTTAATATGCCTTTTTCATCAATGTGCTAAAGGAAATAGTAAGAAGGCTCGTTTCTGGGAGACAATTGCACAATTGACTTATACGCCAGCTGGAAAGGAGACAGGCATTCACGAAAGGTTTTCCAGGAGCACTTTTGGCAAATGTAACTCCTCTGATAATTTCAGAAAAATAACAGTTTGTGAAGACTCAGTGAGTTCATTGCCTGCTCTGCGCACCACTAATTGTATGGTGTTTGGACCATTGAGCTGCCTTACCCATCACCGTTCTGTTTGCACAAACCCAGCAAAGATCGTGTTTCAGAGGCAATATTCCTACATTTGTACAAGGGACATTTATTTTAAATATAACCTTGAGAACCAAAACTAACACATGGTAGAAGGCAAGAAGACTTCAGACTGTCAGGGATCCAAAATGAAAATATTTAGTGGGGTGATAAACTTCCAAAAAAATAATACATCTAATTATACAACAATTCCAAATCATATGCTTGTTTCCTATTTTAATTTACTGTCACAGTTTGATTGCTGTCCCCAGCCTCAGATGGAGGTCCTGGGGAATAATGGAGAACTAATTATTGGGATTACATTTTACAATATTGTTTTTCAGTTCAATGTATGTCACTGTTCAATTAACAAAAATCATAGGGTTTTATTCACTAAATGCCAAATTGTTGTGAAGTGAAAGTCAAATTGAAAAAGTAAATAGTTACTATAAATTAATAGGAGATTTTCCAAATTAGTCTAAATTTCACAATTTTTAATTCAATGCAACACAAGTGTGGTTGAGTCAATAGCCTTCTTGATGTTCTAACAAAAACAAAACATGATATATTTCACCATATTCTGTAGTTCTCTTTTATAACTGTAACAGTAAATGTACATTATGTATGCATATCACAAATAATAGATTGTAACATAAAGATTTACATGTGTGAATATAGCAGTAAGCATTATATTGTTACAGCTGAATATACATTGGATGTATAGTAGGAATTATTTGTCATCGCTTATCTGAGTTTACATTTGTTTCATTCATAAATGGAAAATGTGCTTATGAAATTTTAATTTGATGGAATGGTATAGCTGTCAAAAATCATTCATAATTCCTATAGAAGCGTTGACATTTTAATGTGCTTTTTACCCAATTTTCACTATATAAATGGATAGATGAGATACATTAATACATATCCTTATGCATGTGAGAGCTTTTGGTTTGGCTTTTTGTAGATACAATTAATCATTAATTCTCTAAGTACCTGTAGCAAGAAATATCCATCCATCTATCCATCTCTCTCTTTCTCTCTCTCTCTCTTCATCCATCTATCTATCTATCTATCTATCTGTGGCAGTATACTCACGAGTAACAGGGTTAATTCCGCCTAGGTCGTCCCTTCCCCTAGTGTAGAAGTTCCAGAGTGATTAAGCTCTCCTGCAGAATGTACCGCTGTCTCACCCAAGCATTAGTCGAGACTTAGTGAAGGGTGAAAATTAACTGAGTTTATTGGGACAAAGCACAGGAATTTATACACAGACCCACAGCATGGGGTCTCTATTCAAATTAACACAAGCCCACCCATGCACCTCTGTGTCATAGCCAGCGCTGGGCTGGGAGGCATAGGCTGGAGGGTTAGTATATAGTGATCATAGGCATGTGCAGCCTATTGCATTAGGGCGTGCACCCTAAAGCACAAACACACGCTGCGTGTATATGTGTGTATGTATGTATATATATATATATATATATATACACACACACACACACACACACACACACATATACATAAACTGGTGTGTGTGTGCTGTGTGATGTGTGTGTGAGGGTGCTAGTAGTATGCTATGTGGGTGAGGGTGTTTATGTGTGTGTGTTTGTGAGGGTGCTGTTAGTGTACTGTGTGTGAGGGTACTGGTAGTGTGCTGTGTGTGTGTGTTGTTAGGGTTCTGTTAGTGTGCTGTGTGAGGGTGCTATGTGTATGAGGGTGCTGTTTGTGGGTGTCGTGTGTTTGTGAGTGTGATGTTAGTGTGCTGTGTGTGAGGGTGCTGTTTGTGTGCTGTGTGTGAGGGTGCTGTGTGTGTGTTTGTGAGGGTGCTGTTAGTGTGCTGTGTGTGTGAGGGTGCTGTGTGTGTGTGGGTGTGCTGTGTGTGTGTGGGTGCTGTGTGTGTGTGTGTTGTATGTTTGGGTGATTTGTGGTTGTGGAGGTGGGGGCAGATTAGTTAATAACTATCCCCCCTCCCTTCTTACCTTTTGTAGGGAGGGGGGATCCTTGTTGCTGCTGCCTTCCCTGGTGGTCCAGTGAAGGTGGGGGCAGATTAGTTGATATCCCCCCTCCCTTCTTACCTTATGTAGGGAGGGGGGACAAGGCTGCTGCCTTCCCTGGTGGTCCAGTGGAGAGTGAACTCTAGCAACGCTCAGATCTCGCAAGAGGAACCCGGTGAAGCTGCTGGCTAGAGCACCCGGGTCCTCTCCTGCCTACCTCCCTGCATGTGGGCCGGTGGGGAGGGAGGCTGAGAGCAGAGCCGGCGCTATCCTAAGATCTGCCGTGCCGGTCTCACTCCATAGGCGTGCCGTGGGATTAGGGTGTGCCCAGGCACTCCCAGCACACCCCGTGCGCACGCCTATGATAGTGATGGCAGTCTTTTGAGAGATGGTGTGGGTTTGGAGAGTCATGTGCCCATCTAGGTGACCTAAGAATCCATCTATCTATCTATCTATCACGATATTCAAGTTTTAACACCTTCAGGGGTTATAGAAATTCCTACAAATCACAAGTCATGAACGTTATGTAAAGACATGTTATAAATAGGTTAATGATATAGGCTGCAATTAATCAAAACCTCCCACATATCCCTAACCAGAATATTTGCAAGCATTTGCAAAAATATATGTGTCAGTCAATGGTCAACTGAAGCATTG